AAAGCTTCGGGGCCACTGAGGCTGTGATTGTGTTGTGTGACACAGTAATTGGTGTGAGACTGGAAAACTTCGACGAGGTGTGAAAAAATGGCCAAGAACATGGAAAGTGTCCGGGCTACTGCAGCGTACGAAACTAATTGGAGCACATGCACGCTAGAAACACTCATCAGTATGCTTCACATGTACTGCTGCAACAAAATTATTGCACAGACTGCAGGAAACGGTCAGCAGCGTTGTCCATTAGGACGGCCCTGGAATGGGAAACTGAGACAACTGAAAAGAGCATTGTGAATTGATGCTACGATAAACAATAAATCAACCATTGAGTCATTTCTAACAATAGGAGTGTTTTATCTGATGGCTGCTGCTTTCTAAAAACCACTAACCTCATCATTTAAATGTCAAGCTGTGAATATTTTAGTACCATTTAAAAATAGATTCAACTGTAAAACGTGCATATATGAAAAACCTAAATTCCTCCAATATCATTAACTTTGTGCATTAAAGCACTCAAGTCAAATGCTCGTTGATGCACGACTAGTGATCCTTTTCTTTATCTTTTGCACACAGCTCATGATAAACTGCTGTTTCTCTGCTGAATAACTCCAGGTCTTATGCATTTAAGCACATTTAGCATTAGACCTTCTACCTTTGGACACATCACCCAATCTGACGCTCGTTTCGCCTCTACTACATTCTTTGCCAACTCCTCTTTCAGGACCACCCCTACTCCATTTCTCTTTCTATCCACACCATGATAAAACAGTTTTGAACCCTGCTCCAATGCTGCGAGCCTTGCTGCCCTTCCACTTAGTCTCTTGGACACATAAAACATCTACCTTCCTTCTCTGCATCATGCCAGCCAGCTCTCTACCTTTGTCATTGTCCCCACATTTAGAGTTGCCACCCTCAGCCCTACATTCTTGACATTCCTCATCTCCCTCCGTCTCCTGCCACGTTTCCCTCCTTGTGGTCTTTGACTAACAGTAGCACAATTTCACCGTTTGTCAAACGCACCGGTGTTTCGCTTAAACGAACTTGCATTGTAGCTTTGGCAAAAGTGTTTTATGTCGGATGCAATGTATTTATGGATTTTTCCACTTTATTAGACATATTTGAACTAATGCAACTTATAGGGCGGTGACATTTACAGCGGAAATTATGGTATTTTTCCCAAATGATTGGGGTGGCCAAGGCCCCCATTGGCCACCCACTAGCTCCATCACTGTGTCTGGTGGTGGATAAAATTGCTCCCTCTACTCACCAGAATCCATCACTCTGCACAAGAAAAAGCCCTACCTCTGTTCTAGTTACTCCCACCCACTTGAATATCTTGCATCAACAACATTAAGGTTTACTTGCATTCATTCAATATCCAAGTATTTTCTTTCTAGGTTTCCTTTTAGATCTGGACCACTGCAGACTGAAAAAAACTCCTACAAGAGCTGAAGTTGTGATGTTATGACGTAATTATAAATTATAAATCACTATTTTTTTCAGCTTTTAAAGAAAACCAGCCATCTTCGAGAACAAAACGGTCATTTTTACCTTAACGGAGAGTGGTCATAATGTTCTGGCTGATCAATGTACGCATTTTTCTGTCAACTGTGGAACAATGCTTCGTGTTTCTCCATGCAAACCTGATTTTAAAAATGTGAAAACCGTCACAAATCACACAACAGCCACATGTTTCTGAAAAGTAACTCTTTTAATAATATTTTACAATCCTTTAATCACGGTTATGTCATTATTTACTTTTTCAGCGCCACTTTGCAAGTGTCATAATTCCTTGCTGTCTGACGACAACAAACAGGAAAAATAAAAAATACAAAGGAGAGGTTTGAAGAATGAGTCTATGCAACACTTTGTGACAAGGGGGCAGAGAGAGATTCACATTTGGGCTCTCGGATCGGCCTCTCGTCCCGTTCGCTTGTCAAAAATAAGTAAACAAAAAGGTTAAAAGCAGGACTGTCAGTCAAGTGAATACGTGTCAGGTTGTGAGTCTGTTTTTCTTTGTGTGTTTTGGATATAAAAACACCCCAAAAAAATCCTGATCTTGGAAAAAAAACCTGCAGATCTTTCTTCTTTCGGATTTAAAATGATTTTCAGGGGTGGGGGGAGAAGTAATACACAACCACAACAAACAGAAAATATAAAGATGGTCATTTTTCCAGCAGCTGCTCCAAACATTGGAGGATATTTGTATTTTTCCAAAAAAAAAAAAAAAAAAAGAAGCTGTTTATAAAATGAAAAAGGGGCCGCTATCGAGTAAAACGAGCGATCGTTTCTCCAACGGGACCCAGAGTTAAAACGGCGGCACGAGTCGCTGCTGAAACGTGACTCGCTGACGGTTGTGCTGCGGCGACGGGAGCTGCTGGCGGACACATTTCCTCGGTAAATGGTCAATCGAATGCTTCCTGAGAAATAAAGGAAATATCTGCCTGGCATGAAGAGGAAAGGAGGAGACGGGAGGAAAGAGGGAGTCATTGGATGGATGGTGGAGTTGATGTGTGTGTGGTGGCCCCGGTGAGTAAACATGAAAGCTGGAGGACAGAGGAGTGGGCAGCAGTGCTGGTGTTTGTGCTCTTCGGCACAGAGAGGAGGAGGAGGAGGGAGGAAGGTAGGCAGGAGACAAACAGAAGTGTCTGTCCAGCTGCTGGCAGCGTCCAACACCCACAACACTCCTGCAGCTCTGTGTGTTAAAGGATCAGCGCTCGAAATTTGACTCCAGCTGGACCGAGCCGAGCAGACGGCCTTTTGTTTTGTTGTTTTAGCTCGTTGGTTGCGAGACATCCGGAAAGCGGCGAGAACGAGAGGCGTCGTTTTGGCGACTCTTGTACCGGTTCAGGTAAACGACTCGTCCGCTTTGCACTGCAGCTAAAGGAAACATCTGGCAGTTTTGACAGCTGCTCTGAAAAACGCAGCACGTGGTAAATAAACTCATAGACTACGAACGCAGTTCTGTGAAGACATTTGATCAGGTTTACCTGCAATAAATTAAAAGACACAAAACGATAGTAAGAACTTTTACGTTTTCCTTCAACACTTCTTATACCGAAATGTAACGCCGATACATTAAAGTTGGTGATTTTATGTCATTATTATTATTTCAGGTCAGAAACTTTGAATAGGACTGAACATTTAATAAATATAAAAGGTCCTAAATATGTCAAACTAATAGCAACGATACATACGGTACAATTATTGCCATCTGATGAGAATAACTGTGTTGAAAGAAAGCGTCACTTTTTTAGTCTTTTCTGTCCCTTTTCGTGCCCCCCAGGCTCGTTTCTGTCTGCAGCACGCTTGTTGACTGGCGTGCACGGAGTGGATGCCGGGTCACAATCAGGCAGTTCGTTTTTTTGTTGTTGTTGTTTGAAACAAAAAATGAAAAAAAAAAAAAAAACACTATTTTTTTCTGTTTATTAAAACAAAACGAAAAGTCGTATAACGAAGCGTCATCCGACTTTGTGCACAAAGCGAAAATGGAAAAAAATGGATAACGAGCGCTCGCTTTTGATTATCGCGCCGTGTAGCTTGCTGCTTGTGTACACACGTCCAAGATGGCGGTGAATTAATTAAATTGTTACCCACCGGAAACTTTTATATCTTGACTTTTTTTTTTTTGTATGTTGATTAAAAACATAAGAACGGAGAAAAGTCCGAGAGAATGTAGTTTGCTGAATCCTAAAGTAAGCCCGGTTTGAAGCATCTGATCTCCATGGTAACTGATGCTGGTCCCGTCACCTAATCTGAAGCGGTTTTGGATAACTCGGGGCTGTTTCAGAACATCTACACACATTATTCATACATGAGTATGAAAACCGCTTCAGATTAGGTGACGGGGCCAGCATCAGTTACCATGGAGATCAGATGGTTCAAACCGGGCTTACTTTAGGATTCGGCAAACTACCGTCACTTGGACTTTTATCCGTTCTTGTGAGTTTTTAATCAACATACAAAAAATGTAAGGATGTAAGGTTTTCGGTGGGTAACAATCTAATTAATTCAAAATCAATTCACCGGCGTTTTACACTGCGTGGGGCAGAGAAAACTTCCGGAGTCAGACCACTTCTCAAAAATAAAATCACGTTAAATGAAAGTGAGCGTTCGTTATCCGTTTTTTTTTTTTTTTTTCCATTTTCGTTTTGTGCACAAAATCGGATGACGCTTCGTTTCGTTATCCGATTTTTCATTTTGGTTTAATAAACAAACGCAAAAAAATAATAAAATATTTTTGTTTTTTTCCATTTTTTGTTTAAAACGAAAAAAACGAACTGCCTGAATGTCCACTGACCACGAAACCGTTTTATAATTGCTTGAGCTGTCTTTAGTCGCAGTGCATTTTCTGGAACCCTCTCAGCCACCGTACCTCCCCACACAGTGAAGGTAAATTATTTATAAGGTTATTTACTGTTTTTGAGGTAAACGTCAATCCGAGGACGCAGTTTCTGACGTGATTCGTTTCATTTGCCTTCACCGTGTGGGGGAAAAATCTCAAACTGTACACACGAATGGATACAACCGGATGACGGAACGTAAAAGTTTGATCCTATTTCAGTAAAACATTTTGGAAAAAGTGTGACATAACGCCGCCCGGCAGGTAAAAGCCGGTTACTACCGACACCTCACCGGCTCGCTGTCACACTCCTCCACCGCGGCTCGATGGGAGTGGGCAGGACGAGGTATTTTTAGACCTGCCGGAATCAAAAACTGAATTTTTGCCTCATCACAGAAGCAGGACCTCTGAAAGACAGGTAAGTGCGAGTGGTGCCGCCCACGGTAAACATTTACTCATATTGGGCTGGCGGTAGTGTTCGCTGAGGGTGAAGGCAGGATGTCGAGGAGAGAACAAACCTCGAAGCAGCAGCAGCAGGGCAGGATGACAAATTCTTTATTTAAGCTACCATTTGACAAGTTTATTATCGAATAAAGGAGAAGTCTTTTTGCATTAAACCATAATGAATAAAAATGTGAACACTTCCTTTTTTTCTGCTCGGTAATCCAGAAAATTCAGGTCAGATTAAGAACATCAAAGATGTTTTGGTGCCTTTTTATGCGTTAGTGCACATAAACTGCAAAACTATTCGCCGTTCTTCTCGTACGATTTATTCTTGGTAAACTGCAACACGTTTGTCTCGTGTGTAAAAAAAAAAAAAAAAAAGGCTGCAAATCAAAAACCAGTGCAACGATCCTGAGTTGGTTTGAATCTCCTCTAATGTAACATTAATTTCTTGTCCTGCTGCTGGATACGATGTGAAAATACATTTTAAAAAATCAGCTTTTAGATTTGATGTGCGCCAACAAATCTATAAGACGCTGAACTGCAAAAACGCATGCCTGCAAAGCTGCTGCAGCGCAGACGAGGGGAACTCTTCAGCTGCTTTAGCTGCTATGAGAAGTGGTTCACTAAATCTCTTTGGTCCTCGTGGGGCTGAAGCCTCAACAGCTTGTGGAGCCAACAAAACCAGAGGGAAATCACGTGATGGTCCGACGGTGCGTGAGTTTGGATGTGGTTGTCGATAAAGGATGCAAAAAAAAGGTGTGACGGTGGAGAGGAAGAGAAGGAAGAGAAGTGAGAAAGGGTAGGAGTTGTCACTGCCAAGGTGAGGATGGTAAGGCGGGGTTGGAGAGTCAGTTGGGAGGGGAAGGGGGGTTTCAAACCCATCCACGCCCCCCTCCTACCCCCTGGCCCTCCGGTCTCCTTTCATCAGAGAGCTGAGGTCGAGTCCAGGAATGTCAGCAGGCGGATCACTCTTCCTTTAATCAGTCTGTCCATCCATCCGTCCCTCTCTTACTTTCTCAGCTGTCCGTCCGTCTGTTTCTGTGCAGGTCACTGGAGGTCTCGGTCCTCTAGGTACCGATACTCGAACGTGAAGCCCTCCTTTTTTCTCTGGCCCCACTTCTCGTAGTCAAAGTAAATGTATGTTCCCTAAAATAAAGAAATGAGAAATGATTAGAAAAACACTGCTGCAGCAGAATCCTGGATTTATTACGTTGTTTAATCTAAACCGATGAGTGGTCTTTGTGTTTTACAAAGACGCGAGAAGCTTGAGCTTTATCATGTGTGCCTAGTTTTGATGGCACGATGGAAGAAAACAAAACGTTAGATAAAAGGCACCCAAAATTGTATCCGCTGTAAAACATTAGCGTGAGCTCAATATTTCAGCATTTAAAACATAAACTAAAATTTCACTTTCTCTATCTAACCCCATCTATTTCTGCCAGGTAACTACAAAGTTACAGCAAAAGGTGAGATTATAATCTGCACGATTCAAACACTACAGAAACGCACAAACGCATATTAACCTGCTCAAACTCGTCGGTGATGGTCTTGGGCTCTTCGTGCCTCTGAAACCACATCATGTATTTTGTGTGGAACCTCCATGATTGTTTTTTCAGGGCTTTGGCTGCCAGGTACTGGGCTTTAGTGCCCTGCAAGAGAAAAAAGGTAAACAAAACACTTGAGGACAGCAATTCAATTCAATTTATTTGTAAAGCGCCAAATCACAACAGAAGTCGTCTCAGGGCACTGAACAGAAACATTCATATATATATTCTACTACAGAGGCTTGAATATGAAATTGGGATGACGGGAACAACTCTAAAATGGTTTAAATCATAGTTATCCGATACGATTCCAGTTTGGAAATGGAAATAATAAATCTTACACCAAAGTTCGTTATGGAGTTCCTCAGGGTTCAGTGCTTGGACCAGTACTCTTTACCTTTATATATGCTTCCATTAGGTAAAGTTATCAAACAGCATGGGATAAATTTTCATTGTTATGCTGATGATACACAGTTATATTTGTCCATGAAACCAAATTAATCCAGTCAGTTACTTAGACTACAAGCATGTCTTAAAGATATAAAAACATGGATGACACTTATATTTCAGCTTTTAAACTCAGACAAGACTGAGGTTTTAGTTTTTGGATCTGAGCATCTTATGAATACATTTTTCAGTCTGTCACCCTGTCTGGATGGCATCAATCTGGCCTCCAGCTCTAATGTTAAAAATCTTGGTGTTATTTTTGATCAGTACCAAAAACACCACCAGAACCACCGCCTTCCACCTGCACAACATGCCAAAACCAGAAAAATTCCATCCAAAAATGAATAAAAGTGGCAATTAACCGTAACCACATAAACTTCAGCTTGTTACATGTAAAAGCAACTTTTCCCTCTTTTTATACAATTTTTGCTTAATTTCTAGAGTAAAATGCTGCACCAGTTGTTTTGGACAATTTTCTATTTTAACACTCTTCTGTTACAGGACGATAAATAATTTGCTCTAAAGTATGAGTACATCGGAGAGTGGCTAAACTTATTGTTACCTCCAGGTAGTAAAAGATGAAAAAGAGAGTCTCTGTGGAAAGCCTCTGGTAAAACTCTACAGTGTCAGAGTGGGGAGGTGGCATCTGGTGGTGGAAAGGTGGGGTGGGGCAGGGGTTCCTCATAAGATACTGCCTGAAAAATGAAGGGACAAAAGGTACATTTAGAGAAGACAGATGGCTTCCTGCATGACTTAACAAGTTTTATGACAGGTTTGAAGCTTTGAATGGCACACCAGAGAAGAAGAGTCTTCATCTCAATAATCTCAGTCACATGTGGACAGATTGTGCATTTAAATTAGACAATAATCTAACGGCAATCTGCAACATCATTCCCAGGCAGAAAACTACAGTGGCCGTGAGGTGTAAATGACTAACATTTGAAAAAACAGAATAACATTTCAAAAATACAACATTTGAAAAATGGACTCGCAGTTGAAAAAAACGGAATTACATTTGAAAATACGGAATCACATCCAAAAAAAAAAGGAATTGCATTAAGCCAAAGTAGAAGTGGCCGAGGTGGAAATGGACAGAATTACAATTGAAAAAACGGAATTACATTTGAAAAAACGGAATCTCATTAAGCCAAAGCGGAAGTGGCCAAAGCGGAAGTGGCTGGAATCACATTTGAAAAAACAGAATTACATAAAGAAAAAAGAAAAAAACGGAATTACATTGGAAAAACAAAACAAAACAAAACAAAAAACTGAATTAAAATCAGCAAAATCGGAAGTGGCGTTTGCTCTGGTGATGGATCGACTAACGGATGAGGTCAGGCAAGAATCCCCATGGACGATGATGTTTGCAGATGACATTGTGATCTGTGGTGAGAACAGGGAACAGGTGGAAGAGAACTTGGAGAAGTGGAGGTATGCACTTGAAAGAAGAGGAAAGAAAGTCAGCCGTAGTAAGACAGAGTGCATGTGTGTGAATGAGAGGGAGGCCGGTGGAACAGTGAGGCTACAAGAAGCAGAGGTCACAAAGGTGCAGGACTTCAAGGACTTTGGGTCCACTGTCCAGGAAAATGGGGAGTGTGGTAAAGAGATGAAGAAGAGTCCAGGCAGGATGGAGTGAATGGAGAAAAGTTTCAGGAGTGATTTGTGACAAAAAGGTGTCGGCAAAGGTCAAAGGAAAAGTTTACAAGAGACCAGCTATGTTGTATGGTCTGGAGACAGAGACATGGACAAAAAGAGAAAAAAGGAACTGGAAGTATCAGAAATGAAGATGTTGAGGTTCTCCTTAGGAGAGACAAGGATGGATAAGATCAGGAATGAGATCATCAGAGGCACAGCACAGGTTGAACAACTGGGAGATAAAGTTAGGGAGGCCAGATTGAGATGGTTTGGACATGTCCAGAGGAGAGACAGTGGGTATATTGGTAGAAGGATGTGAGAAATGCAGCTGCCAGGAAAAAGACAAAGAGGAGATATATGGATGCAGTTAGAGAAGATGGGTAGAAGGTAGTTGGAGTGAGGACAGAAGATGCAGAGGACAGAGTGAGGTGAAGGAGGATGACTCGCTGTGGCGACCCCTGAAGAGGGAAAAGCCGAAAGAAGAAGAAGAAGAAGAAGTGGTGTGTGTTTAATTAATTGATTTTTTACTTTATTACGACCACTTTGGCTTAATGTAATTGCTTTTTCAAATGTTGTTCATTTACACCTCAGCCACCGTAAACAGTTTAAAAGTGCCACCATCATCCCACCTCATCTTTAACACAATCAACCAACAGCAGCTTGTAGTGAAGCTATGCTAGGACTCCGCTGTAAAACCTATGAAACTGAGGGACAAGAGAGTTTCAGAGTGTTTAATTTTAAATGTCAATTATGGCTGTGTGGGTAGCAGATCCAAAACCAGTTAACTTTATTCTGCGGCTGCTGTGAATCTGTGGTCAGATTACTGTAAATTAAAAAAAAACAAAAAAACAATGTGCACATGAAATACAGCGTCCTCTGTAAGATGAAACTACTGTCGTGTGACTTCATTTTCACTCTGACTTGAAAAATGCTAAATATGGACTCAGCGTCTTAACATTTTGGGTTAATTAAAGATTAAAAACAACAAACTTATTTTTGAAATATCTGTGAAATGGTGCACATTTTCATCGGTTTAGATTTCCATCAAAGTTACAAATATAAGATTTATTTACCCTAATTTGAATCAGTTTCTGTACTTTGCAATCACGCTTTAATATTTAGTGATATAACGGTATGCCATACTACTCGAGTGCCATCTAGTGGCTGAAAATGGTAGTGCTCAATATTTTCGGTCAAAATGAATGAAAACGGTCATATCTCAGCCAAAAATTGGTTTATAAACATGGGAAAGATCCATGAATACGTCACTTTGGCAAATAAGTTGCAAGGCGTATAAATTATACAAAAAACTGTCACTTATAGGGCGAAAAATACCGTAGTGTGCCTTTTAAGAACCTGCTGATAACTACATACCTTATTAAGAAAAACAGAAACTACTGACAAAAAAAAAACTAAAAGTGAACTCCTTTCTTACTAGAATCTCCTCAAAGAATAACATAAATAAATATCAAGATATAATAAACACAGTGTCCTGGTTAATAACTACTATTTCAGAATAAATGCCCATTTTATTCATTGCCTTAAATACAAAAAACATTAAAAAAAAATCTTGATGGCTTCTTGCAACAATGTTTTCAGTTGAGTTATATATATATATATATATATATATATATATATATATATATATATTAAAGCACAGAAAGTCCTTTACAGAGTTTTATTTTATTTGCCAGACTGACAGATTATTTCATTCAGTAGATTTATATTTACAGAATTTCAGCTCATGTACTAATTTAATACTATTTATTTTCACATTTGATCATTTATTAAATTACATTTATCACAGTGCAGTTACCTACCTCTAAGCATATTTCTAAATATAATAGTTTAACACATCCAAAGAGCCAAAACATCTTGTTGCTGCTAAAACACTGTGTAGAAATGATTTTTTTTGAAGATGTTTATGATAAACTACAAACTCATGAGATTCTCTCACGGAGTGAATTTCATGAGTTTGGAGGGAAAACTAAAGTTAAACGGTGATACACATCTCTGCTATAATCTGAAGCGTATAAATATTTGCCTTTTAGCGTTAATATTTAATAACTAAAGCAGCAGAAACTCAACAGACTATGCGCTCCCACATCGGTGCTCGTCTCTCTCGGGTCTGGAGTTTGGTCTCACGTGCAGGTTGCAAATGTCTGTACGATGACGATGCTCCGAACACGTTAACAATTAATATAAAGTTAGATTTTTAGATGCAAAAGTCCCGGGAGGTCGTGGCGCGGTGCAGGAGGTGATGGTGTTCCAGTTCTGGCATCTTCCCCGGCTGAAGTGAATTGGTCACGCGCGAACACGTTTAATAAATTATTCCAGGTCTTCACCTTCATGAAGGGGCGGGCGGTTCTGTTAGGGAAGCGGGGTGTCCTCCATGGCTTGCTGCAGGTGAGCTTTCACCTGAAGTTTCTCTGCTGCTCACACCTGGGCTCTGATTGGGTCAAACTGTGGAACTGGTTCTCTTTACTGGTTGAAAGCAGCATCAGTTTAACCCTCTGTATCGTTTTTAAAATGGAACATGTTTTTTTCCCTTCCTCATTTTTACAGATGACGGAAATCCGTCCTGGCCACGTTCAAAATGACGGAGAACTTTAATCCATGTACAGTTTTGCAGAGACTGAGTAGTAGATTTCAAATGGTATTTTCTTAAATTTAGTGGACTAGACCTAACTATATATTTTAAACCATATCATCTGTGTATTAACCCAACATGGACGACCCAGGATCATAATTCAAAGCAGGCTGCACCTGATTCTCTCTGAGTCGGACGGGTGGGGCATGTGCATCCACACTGCTTCCTGCATGGCCTGTTGGAAGAGCTGGTCTTTGGAAAGGGGAACCGGCCCCAGCGGACAGACCCCCAATGATGGGAGGATGCTGACCTCTGACAGCGAGGGCTGCGGTGCTGATGAGGAGCCTGACTGGGCCGTAGTGCTGCTGGGGAAGATGTCTGAAAAGAACCAGGAGGACAGAAGTATAATTAGAACGTAAAAGTAGGAGGGAATGAAAGGGTGGGGGTGAACAAAAGCAGTTTAGGATGATATCACCTACATCCTTTGTTTCAAGGAGGCTGAGAGAAGGAGATGAGCTTATGTCCATTAGTTTAGTTTAATATGCAAAAAAAAAAAAAATAGAGCATAAAGCGTAATGTCAAAACTTTTTGTTTTACATATTCAAGGGAGTGGGTAGAAGTATAAACTTATCAAAATTCCCACTCCTTAACCACTTACATAATCTTACATTTATTACATATATAATCCATACAGTATAACAACCAAATCCATATTTAACCATAAATATAGTATCTATTTAAGTTAATTACAGTAGATAAACAATTATTATTTCTTTAACTTCACCAAAAAAAAAAAAAAAAAACTAGCATCAATAATGAAGACATCAACAATAATTGAATAATAATATTATATCCAGCAATAATCAAAAGTTTATATGATAATTTGAACAGTTTTACGTTTGGACATTGTCTAAGTTTAATATTCAAATTATTCCACAGTTTGACTCTACTTACTGATACACAAATGTTTTTAGTAGTTCTGAATTTGCACATTTTAAACTGTGATTCCCCACTTAAATTATAAATTTGCTCCTTAGTATTAAACAGATTTTGAATGGTTTCCAGTAATTGTTTATTTTTGGTTTTGTAAAGAATTAGAGCTGTTTTTTAGTTTCAGTATGTCAATGAACTTTAATAATTTAGATTTTACAAATAGTGTATTACTACTTTCTAAATATCCAACCTTATGGATTATTCTTATTTCTCTTTTTTGTAGTGCTGTTAATGCCTGTAGTGTAGTTTTGTAATTATTGCCCCAGATTTCTGCACAATAACTTAAATAAGGTAAGATTAGTGAACAGTAGATTACATGTAATACTTTTTGTTCTATGACCGACTTGGTTTTGTTTAAGAGGGCAATATTTTTGAGACTTTACTTTGAACATATTTGATGTGTGGTTTCCAGTTGAGTTTAAGAAATTTGTTTTCATGAACTCTTTCAATATTCCCTCCATCTATTTGTATTTGAATTTCTGTATGTGACTGAAGGTTCCCAAATAACAGTATTTTTGTTTTTAGTTTTAAGGACGGCTTATTTTCATCAAACCACATTTTAAGGTTGTTCAGCTCATCATTTACATCCTTTAACAGTTGTTCCATGTCATCTCCAACACAACAAAAATGTTTGTATCATCGGCAAATAGTATGCTTTTCATTATGAAGGTACAATACATAGATCATTTACATACATTTGGGACCCAGGACTGACCCCTGAGGAACCCCACAAACAATGTCCAAACATCCAGAACAAACATCTCCCAACTTCACATTAGACTACAGCTTTTCTATTTCTGCTCTCTCCTCTATTAACATGTTGAATGTGTCTGTGTCGGTGCGTGTCCTACCTGGAGTAAGGTGCAGGGAGGCCACGTCTCCCTCAATCCCTGAGCTGAGTGCTGCTTGGTCGGAGATAGACTTGAGGCTGCTCAGAGACTCCTGGGGCTGAGGACAGACAGAGAGACTCATGGGAAGAGATTGTCCAAGACGTGTACACACCGTGTTGCTGCTTGGACGAAGGAACTCGGGTTCTTAAATGACTGATTCAGATTCACGTTTTGTTTACTCTGCAGCCCTGCCCAAAGAGAAATGTGATGTCAGACATTTAAGGAGGGATTCAAAACTGACAGAGAAAGGCTAAAAATAAAGTAGTAATTTAAAGTATTTAGGATGTTTTAAGATTACACTCTTTAGTATCAACAAAGCCCTATGATCTAAAATAAATGTGCTTCAGTCCCGTATGAAAGCTGAGGTGAACGTCTTCGGATGTGGAACAATGTGAACTGACTCGGCGTCAGTATAGAACCACAAAAGTCTCTTTGCCATTGATAAGTGCGACTCCACTCAGCTCCCGTCCTACCAGTTTTTCTCAGGTGTAAGTGATTTGCCTCTTGTGACCTATTCCACCGCTCTCTGGGTGGGATCGTCAATGCAACGTGGGCGGTATCGTAACAGATCATTATGTCCAAGTCACTCCGTGTTGTGGTCCTTAATCGCCCAATAATCTGACTTTACCGTCATTAGCTTTTACTGCTTATAGGTCTGGGTGTAGCCATGCTGTGCCGTCATCTCTGGCACCTCTCTGTAAATGCGCTCATTTCTTGTGGCACCGTCCGTCAACACAGTCAGAGACACTTCACCACTTGCTCTTGCCAAGATCGGATGCTTCTCCCCTCCCCCCTTTCTCCGCTTTGCTACTCTGTCTGTCTGTGAAACTGCTTGTGAGACTCTCTTGCATCTTCCGAACCATAATTATTGACTTGTTTTGATAAGTTGGTCCCTCAACTCAATTTACAACATTTCTTCGAAGAGAAGACTGGCTTTAGGCGAGCCAATTTGCCCTGTTGGCACGCAAGCAGCTGGATATCTCATCGACTGGAAGACTTGATGATGTGTCTATCTCTGCTGCCATCTGTGGATTTTAATGACACATATTTAATTGGATTTACGATAACTGGTTCCTGCTTTTTGGATTCGGCTGGTTGCTGGTTTTATCTATAATCAAGGAAGTTGTCGGCAGCAAATCTGGACCCGATCACACTGCTTGCCTTTATGATGGCTTGGTTCGTGCCTCGAGTACCCAGACTCAAATGCTTTGGGCAGAATGGATCAGATCTCTGGGATTTTACTCAGTCACGTTCCATCGGTGTGGCCATGTAATCCCTTGGCTGGACTTGAAGGCCATCTTATCTGAATTTGCCTAGAGAACATATGATCTGATGCTCACCACGCCCTCCCTCAGGAATTTCCAACTGATAACCAGATGAAACCAGCTGAATAAACTTTGTGTCATCATTTCAGAATTCTTGATTCTCATAGACGTTATCCTTGGCCATTCCTCGACATACCTTGAGAATGTTTACGGATCTCATCAGAGGACACTGGCTGATTACTTTCTTATCAGAACTCTTATAGTGACCTCAAGAGCATCTATGAACATTGCACACCGCTCTCGTCGTCCCCCTCTGCAGAATGTCTACGTTACTATGTGCTTGTTTGTGCAAAGTGTTTTTTAATATTTGAGTTTTTTCTTCTCAGGCAGGAAGAAAAAAGTCTGATAGGAATTATTTCGCCTCCAATTCCTACATGTGTCCAGTTTCACTACTTTTTGTCTGTCTAAACAGATCTCACTTGTAAATGAGTCTTCCAGGCTCAACGTGACTTATCTGTTTAAATAAAGGCTGAATGAAAAAAATGGAGGTTCAGATGTAGTTTGTAGTTTTGCAGGGCGGGTCATCCAGTGACGTAGCTCCGCTGACCAATCAATGGCTGCTGTCTGCTCACGTCAAAATCGTCACCTCGGAGTAGGTTGGAACCACGACCAAAGTGGTCCCATAAACTGGGCTGAGTTGGGGTGGATACTGGCAGTGGGCCGGCTCTTAACTGGTGCGGCGTGATGCGGAACCGATGACAGTTGATGGCAAAGCGCCAAAAGTGTCAGCTCGTGTGTCCTAATGTGAACGAAATCCCTGCAACGAGTTTAATGTCTGGTTCAGTCTTCCCCATGAGTCTAGGCTCATAACGGTGACGAGTTGTCTCGCAAATGAACAGTTGTAAAATGAAGTTGCTAATAAAAGAAAAAAAAAAGTTTGATTGTCTGAAACTGTATGACGATGATGGGAATTTGAGCATGCCGTATTCCTCACCTTGATGCTTTCGGGTGGTGAGTAGGACAGCGGTCCGTTCAGCAGGCTCGATGTTTTAGCCTCGCTGTAGGCCGGTGACGGGGAGCTGGATGACAAACTCAAAGAACCCAGTAAACTGGGACCGGTGTCCTTACTGGAAGAAAGAAGAGGGGTTATAATAAATCTTTAGATTATAACTAAATCTATGCACTTTAGATGCACTGCAAATGTCAACAATTAATGTAGTTAAAATTAATCTGCGCTGCACAGTGCCGTTTGCCCCACGGGATGCTGCATTTAAAAACATGCTTCAGTGTTTTCACATCTTTTCTTCCAGAGCCCTGAAGAAAATATGTCTGTTAGTCATGTTATAATAACTTCATGTTGTCTTTAGAAATTACATGGAAACATTTGATTTGTGTATAAACTACCATGATGACTAGGGACGCACAATATTATCGGCCGATATTAGTGTTAAAGTTAAATATCGGATTAAATTTAAATATCGGGCATCGGCCATTCCATCAAAATAACTCACCGATATAAAATATACTGTTTTTGTAAGACAACCCAGTGACAAGGATGCCTGCAGCGCCAGCACAATGTGATGACGTCACGCGCACCTACCCGATCTGATCACGGCGGAGAAGAAGTCAAAATGTCGGCGATGTGGAAGTTTTATTTTCGGTGAGAATATTGGATTCTGAAGATTTTTGGACTACGTTGAGCCTTGTTACGTCGTCTCCTGTCAGATATATTTTTCCGACGTAGCCTTACCCGAGTTACAAGCCGTCATTTCTGACATCATTGAGAAGCTAATAGCCGATAGCGCTTGGGTGAGTTTTACCACAGACATTTGGACGTCAAGTGTTAGCCCCGTTAGCATGATTAGTCTTACGGCACAATGGATAGAAAAACTTTGAACTTAAATGTCTGTCCTTCATGTACAGGAGTGCAGAGGATCCCACACTGCAGCTATAGGAACCTGGAACAAGTCTCCACAAGTGAGACAGCATGGCAGGTGACTAACACTAATAAATAACTTATATTAAATGAAAAGTGTTAAATGTTAAAGCGCTATGAATATGGCTGTTACTGAATATAAGTGACCAGCTCTTACAGCTGTTACACAATTTTTGTAGCAAATACGCTTAAATAAGAGGGCTATGTTCTGACAAAGTAAAGCATATAAAAAATATTGGTATCGGTTATTGGCCAAATAAGTTTTAACATATCGGCATATCAGCCAAAAATCCAATATTGTGCATCCCTAATGATGACCACAATGCTAACTGCGTTGGCCTCTCTATAGTTAGCATCTATGGTCATTTTTGATCAGCAGCCTATGAATAATAGTTTTTTTATATATATATTATCTCATGGTGTTCCTGATAATCACAGACACAAAACACATTAATAATTGTTTTATAACTGAATCACAGTCCTTGGAATCGTAATCAAATTTAATCAAGAGGAGCCTAAAAGTTACCATCTCCAGTAGCTGTTGTATGTTATGTTTATTTTTTATGCAAAAAAAATACATGAGAGCCAAATATGTTGCCATGTTTTAAGTTGTGACGTTATACTTACAGCGGATTGGCTGTGGAGGTCAAACATGAAGATTGGCTGCTTTGTGATTGGCTGGCACTGTTGAGGGCGGAGTCTATTGTGCTGTCTGCTACCACAGAACTGTAACCTGGACAAAAACAAAACATGAGAGATATGTAAAGTTTTGAAATCTTCATTTAGGAATACACAGCTTACAAATTAAACATTAGGGATGCACGATATTGGATTTTTGGCTGATATCCGTTATGTTAAAATTTATTCGGCCAATAACCAATACCAATACTGATATTATTCTTTTTCTAAACCTACTTACAGAGACTTCAGCTTTCTCTGCTGTGGAATTAAAATACTGTCAATTTGTCCTGCTACCAAATGCAGATGCCAAAAAGGGGGGTGAAAATGATGTAACACTGTACGAATATATAATATAAAAAATACAGCGCCTTTTATATCCGAGTTATTTTGATGGAATGGCCTAAGGCTAATATCAGCCGATACTGATACCATGCCAATAATATCGTGCGTCCCTATTAAACATCATAAACCCTTTTTTTAATTTCACAACAGCTCTAGAGCAACAGAATACTTTTTAATCAAGATTAGACTTAAACAAACCAGAACTAAACTGAAAAAAAAAAGACGAGGGATTGAGTGTTATGTTGTTTTTCTTCTATAAATCTTGAGCTTTACATGCGACACAAATTTAATGTGCTGTTATTTTCACGACAAACTTTCACATGAAACATACGTTAATGACTATTCAGTTGGAATGCAGGGAGTTGGCAACATCATATTAGCTTCTGCTTTAGAAGATGGAAACTCTTGGTTTGTTCAGACAGGTTACTGTGCTCAAATATGTGAATAAAACATTAGTTTTATATAGTTAATAAAAATAAACAGCACTGGTGTTGAGTGTGATATATACAGAGAGCTGTGAATTACTTTGATTATCACCACGTGTCATTTCTTAGGGGTTGATTAGCTGATAAACTTATTAAATCCAACAGTTGTTATTTTACTATTTAAAACCTTTTAAATGAACCTTTTTCAGATGTTTCTCCAAAACATGAACAAAATGCCACAAATCTCCGCCATCCTTTGGTAAACAGATTATTCTGATACTCACTAGTGCTGCAGTTCTGCTTCTGTTGGCTCAGCGGTCGGACCGACAGCGATGAGCTTCCTCCGACTACGCCGCTGCCCGTTGACCCCGAGCTGCCTCCGCTGCTTCCGATAACGCCGATCCCACTTCCTGGAGCTAGACTTCCTACTGGACTCTGTGACAACAGGGAAGACCCCTGCACTCCTGACTGGGCGGAACTCAAACCCAGAATGCCGGAGCCGATGCTGCCCAATCCTGAAGCTGCGCCGAGCAGGTCTCCCGTCAAAGACGTCAGCCCGCCGACTGTGATGCTTCCACTGCCGATGGCGCCCAACCCGCTGTTGGTTGTTGTAGTGCTGACACCCCCGAGAGAGCCCGGTAAGCCTGAGCTGCCCGTGCCTAAGGCGGCTGCCTGGGCGTAAGGAGTTGGGGTGGAGCTGGACAGAAGGCTCGCCATCGTGCTCAGAGATGCCGGCATCCCTGACAGGCCGAGGCTCCCCGACATCGGGCTGGTGGGGATGGAACCGGACATGATGCCTTTCCCCAGAGAGAGTCCCAGACTGAGGCCGAGGCTGTTAGAGGTCGATGTGGGACCCAAAAGCGCCTGGGGCTGGGAGTTCAAAGTAAGGAGCCCTTGTATGCTGGCATTTGGTGGCGAGGATTCTGAGGAGGCGCTGTGGCTGTTGGTAGAGGCGCTAGAGTTGGAGATAGGAGCCGAGGAGCTCGCTGAGTTTTTGGCCTGCTGCTGCGCCGACGTGTGAGGTGACTGCTGGGTGGCGTTACTGTAGCTGCCAGTCAAAGTGTTGGAGATGCTGCTGTGATGGCTGTTGCCCCCGGATCCGCTGCTTCCTCCAACAGCGATGGTCGCCATAGAGACCAGAGAGGATGAGGTCAGTCCCGAGACGGAAGAAGAAGAGGAGGAAGAGGAAGACAACAAAGAGGAGGGATTCCCGTTCTTCACAGGTGACTGTGAAAACAAATAATAATGAATTGAAAACTGTGCAAAACTTTAAAACTGTGATTTAATTCTAACAAGTTTACATTAAAAAAGTACAGTAGTCCCTCGCTACTTCGCGGTTCGTTTATCGCAGTTTTGCAAAATAAGAGTGGGCAGGACACACAACTGGCTGATAGATTTAAAATTATTTAGCACGTGCTGCACATTTGTGCAGCCCACACTGCAGGATAAACTTCCTGCTGCAGCTGATCAGCTGTTCTCTGTGCAGAGTGGAGAAGTGGGCGTGGCCAAGAGCGCTCGCAGGTGGCAAAGAGCAGAGGAGGCAAGGAGCAGAAATCATGACATTCTGTGCTCTTTTAGAGTTTAAAAACCTTGTTTAGAATATTGCAAGAGTGTGGGAAGGGTTTAAAACACCTTTATTTATTTATATATATATATATATATATATATATATACTTCTAATTTGCGGTTTTTCACGTCTCGTGGGTTTTCAGGTTTTGTATCCCCCCCACGATTAACGAGGGACTACTGTAGTACAAAGTCATAGCCCTAACTTTGTTTTGGGAAACCCAGAAATAAACTACAGAAAAGTATCTGTACAAATAAACATACAAGTAAAATATATATAAAAAAAATAGTTTTCCGAGTGCCGATCCGTCTTCACACTGACCTGGCTAACTTCACTGTCTGTTGAACGTCCCCGCTTCTTGTCGTCTTCTGAGTTTTCCTAAGAAAAAAAAACAAACAAGCAAAACGTTAGGATCCAGTAAAAAAATCAACTTTCTGCAGCCATTTGTACAAGCAGCTGCTGACACCATTTATTTTATTATGATATCTGAAGATCATCTCAAGACCCCCACTAGAAGTCAACTTTTATCTTCACTCAAACAACTTTAAGAACTTATGGACAAAAAAGTTCAAATGTGGGTCTTACTGTTTAACTTTGCATTAGTCAGCATTTATTGTATCATACAGATATCCCCATTTTTTAAATTTCTTTTTATACCAGAAAAGACTTTCTTTATTAAACGACGCACTATTGTTCTATCAGACGTATAATATCTACTTTCAGTACATTCTGAATGTGGGCAGACAGAGCAGAAATTAATGTACAATAGCAACAAAGACAATTATCTTCAGCTAACGAGGTCGTTCGGATAATGACCTCACCTGACTTCAGGTGAATGTAACAAAAGGTTTAATTTCCCATGATTGCCTTTGTTACGATGACAAGCCTCTCAGGTTAATTAAGACATCATCTAAGACGTGTGCAAAAGTGTTTCAAGTATCTTTTTGTTTGTGGATTCTTTAAGAATTTGCGTTTTTACATTTGTCATAATATTGAAGAATAAAAACAGGAGAATAATATGAGTAAAAACAAACTTGATATCGCAGCAGTATCAGAAAAACAAATCCCTTCCTGCTCGTTTCTGTTGTGCAAACATCAAAACGCACACGATGGAAGGTGAGTTTTCTTACCGTAGTGCAAGTGGCAGGTGAAGGGGGGATGGGAGAGGATGATGTGGTGGAGGTGGGTGTGCTGCTGGAGTTCTGGAAGATCTCATCTTCCAAATGCGAGTGTCCCGGTGGGGAGGTGGCGACCAACGACTGAGCTGCACAGACAGAAAGCGAGTCACGAGATTGTATCTGCTCATGCAGGACTCATGACAACACTAGATACAATCACACAAAATACAGAACGCTTCAATTTTATTCATGACCTTCCCACCACCTCCGATACTTTATGAACAGGCACCACAACTAGTTCAATGCTGAGTCTTGCAGATAATTTGTTTTAAATTTTATAGTTCATATTTCTGCGACGCGTTATGTTGTAGGACAAATAACCAAAAAAAAACAAGATGGACTCCAGATTGTCTACGTACGAATGTCGTCCAGGTCCAGGTCGTCGTACAGGAACTCGTTCTCTTCAAAGTCTGGGTCCTGCGATGAGTCTATGTAGTACTCTACATCATCCTTCATTGAAACAAACAAACAAAGGAACAAATGAGCAACAAAAACACAGTTTCATTCATTATTGAATGAATGTTCACGAAGCAGTCACACTATTGTGATCCGTTTTTCTTCCGTACATGTTCCGGCACGATTCTCAGGTTTCAACCTATTTCAACAAACCATCAATCAAAAACGTTCAGCTCTTTCAGGGCAATCTATGACTTTTGGTATTGGTGCATCTTTAGTTTATATATATATATATATATATATATATATATATATATATATATATAT